ATCAGTACATATTAATTACCTAATTTGCATAATTAATTAATTTTCAGCTTTTGATATTTTAAGTAGTAATCAACACATTTCAATAAAACTTGGTACATAGATGTCATAGGACACTGCACAGACCTGATAGTTTTAGGGTAATATCAGTACATATTAATTACCTAATTTGCATAATTAATTATTTTTCAGCTTTTGATATTTCAAGTAGTAATCATCACATTTCAATGAAACTTGGTTCATAGTTACTTAAAGACTGTGCAGAGACCTGATTAGTTTTGGGGTAAATATTTGTGCATATTAATTACCTTATTAGCATAATTAGTTAATTTTCAGCTTTTCGCCTGATAACTCAAGTACTGATCATCATATTTCAATGAGACTTGCTACATAGATCCTCTAGGACTATGCAGAGACCTGATTAGTTTTAGGGTAAATAATTGTGGATATTAATTACCTAATTCGCATAATTAGTTAATTTTTTCCATGAATGTTCCACTGATATATAAAGAATTGGATTTTATTGAAACTTTTATAGAGTATTCATCATCACATTTCAATGAACCTAGGACTATGCAGAGACCCAATCAGTTTTTGGTAAATATTTATGCTTATTAATCACCTAATTAAAATAATTAATTAACACTGATATCTCAAGTACTGATCATCACATTTGAATAAAATTTGGTACATAAATGCTCTAGAACAATAGACAGGCCTGATTAATATTCGGTTGAAATTTGTTCATATTAATTCTCTAATAATAATTCATAGTTTTTTTGTTCTAATCACATTTCAATGAAACTTGGTGCATAGATATTACATTATGCAGGCCTTATTAGTTTTACACTCAAATATGTTCATATCAGTTACCTGATTTACATAATTAGTTTTCAGCTATTCCATCAATATCTCAAGTACAAGTAATTTTGAATTAATTTTTAATGTGTCTTCAATACTCTCAGCACACGGAAGTTCTTTCTAAGCTTTCTTTGATTTCTTCTTCTCTCTTCTGTATCTTGTTTTTCTTCAACTTGATTGAGAAAATGGCTGAAGCTAGAAACCTGAAACTTTGTATGCTGATGTGGACCAATGGGAATTGGTGGAAATGTGACAATTGGTCACATGGCTTGGCAGCCATCTTGTTTTGAAATTTTGTATAGTTTTGGTTCAAACTACCTGAGGACCTGAAACTAGTGGCACAGTGTTATGTACTATGCTACCGCAAAACTCATTGGAGGGCATTTGGGAGCTCATTTTGTCCAACCGTTCTTGGGAAGTAGTCGATTAAAGGATCAAATTATGGAGCATTGTGGGTAATTCTGTTATTCTCTGGGGGGGAACACAGAATGTATCAAGTCAATGACACCTAAAATTGAATTTTAGACTTCAAGATGCTCAATGTCAGTCAGAAATCTTCCTTCAATGAATGCCTGGGTATATGCATAGATGTATGCATTTAATCTGTGTTCTGTCTCACTCAAATTTGAATACCGGGGTACTGTATGTTTAACACAGCATTTATCTAGACTGTTGTTTTCATATAATGGTGCAGTTATAGTTATTGTGTCGAATCCCTCATCTGCTTTGATTGCAACACATACCAGTATTTATAACACTGACACGCTCCATATTTCAGGAAAAGCAACACTTGATAGATGAATGGCAGCCTGAACCGTTAGTTCCCACTTTAGAAGAGACGCACAATTCAACTATTGTCAAATATAAAGTAGTGTCACAGTAAGTATGCACCTTGGTTACCTGTACAGTATGGCTTTAGTGAAACAGTGTGCCTTCTAATCTAAGCCAATATGAAGTGCCACTGATGCACCAAGATTTTTCTGTGATGCACCAAGATTTTCTGTGATGCACCAAGATTTTCTGTGATGCACCAAGATTTTCTGTGGTGCACCAAGATTTTCTGTGATGCACCAAGATATTCTGTGATGCACCAAGATTTTCTGTGATGCACCAAGATTTTCTGTGATGCACCGAGATTTTCTGTGATGCACCAAGATATTCTGTGATGCACCAAGATTTTCTGTGATGCACCAAGATTTTCTGTGGTGCACCAAGATTTTCTGTGATTCACCAAGATTTTCTGTGATGCACCAAGATTTTCTGTGATTCACCAAGATTTTCTGTGGTGCACCAAGATTTTCTGTAATTCTGCAAGATTTTCTGTGATTCACCAAGATTTTCTGTGATTCACCAAGATTTTCTGTGGTGCACCAAGATTGTCTGTGATGCACCGAGATATTCTGTGATGCACCAAGATTTTCTGTGATTAACTATTGTTGCTTGCGCCTCAAGTCAAATATACAGTCACATACAATTTTATTTTTGTCTTGAAAACCACCTCTCCAGCAGCCTACAAGCTGAAACAACTTGGGGGGGGGGGGTTCCATTTCGATTTCTGCAAAATCAGTTTTCTTAGAGAGCACACTGTTGTGCAGCCTGTTTGTAATTTTTGCCTTTGGATTGCATTCTGGTCATGCATTTAATGATTTACCATCTTGCTTGAATTGCATATTTGCAACCCATATTTACAAATTTACTTCCTTGTGTATCATGCGCTATATTTCGTCATATTGCCACCAAAGGTCACCACTTCAACGTGACTTCATAGGTTCATCAAATTTTATAATCTGCTTCTATGTTTCAAAACAAAATGAATACAATGTAGCTGTTTGCTATTGAGTGTCTCTCGTTAAAACTAGAAATTTATTAGTTTGTTTATGTTACTTGATATGCTACTTAATTGGCATTACAACATACATTACATGTACATACATCCATTTTTTGCATTACTTTGCTGCCTCAATGTCATTCATATATGTTTTCAGGAGACAAATATATGTTTTTCTGCATTTTATATATTGGTCTAAGAATACTATTCTTACATCAGTGCCACCTGACAATATCGCATATTTCTTTCCAGACAAGGTGGTCCTAAGGTCACAGTGGATGGTAAAACATGTTTAAATTTGGCTTCTATGAACTTCCTGGGAATGTTGGGAAAGAAAACAATAGAGGTAAGCATCATGCAAATGACCCCTGATACTGTGAATTATTAAACTTTCGCCAAAAAATGTCAATTGTTAATTTGACCCCCAAAAAAATGAATTGTAAAATTTTTGAAAATTTAAAATACCTAGTTTGGGCACCTTAATTTTTCGTCAAACTGTTTTTGTAAAATTTCTCTTATTGTTATGTATTTTCAAATAATTAATAATTTTGGACCAAATAAGCAAAATTTTTTGTCTGTATTATCGAATGAGGGTAAAATGTCTGTTTTCACTGTTACTGCGGTCACTACAACAATTTCTTTCAAACCTGGATATTATATTCACCAGTGTGGGGTCTCGACCAAGTTTGTCTTGAGTTTGTAAGTTTGTCTTGAGTTTGTAAGTTTGTCTTGAGTTTGTAAGTTTGTCTTGAGTTTGTAAGTTTGTCTTGAGTTTGTAAGTTTGTCTTGAGTTTGTAAGTTTGTCTTGAGTTTGTAAGTTTGTCTTAAGTTTTTTCAATAATAAAACTGTGTGGAATTTATTTATTGAAAGCTGGAAAAAAAGTTTGTTGGGTTAATATTGCAATCAGCTCTAAGGCTCTTTGCTTTAACCTTTTCACTACCAGATTTTTCCGCTCAAACTTTTCTGCAATTATTTTCATATATTTTTCAATATTTCTGGAAATGAACCCTAATTTTGGAGCCAACGGGATTATTAGAATTATACTTTTCACCACCAGTTCCCTCTTTTCATTACAAATTCACAAAATAGTCCCTGGTGGTGAAAAAGGTTAATTTACTCATCTTATTAGTGACACCTGAAGTTTTATTTCGAATACAAAAATGAAGCTCCAAAAATGCCCTCCAACGAGAAAATCTTTATTTTCAGGATTTCCAACCATAATGATAGTAAGGAAATCAAAATATTACCCATAATTAATGATGTTTTATTTGAGTGGACATAATGTAGTTTAAATTGAAATTCTACAATTTATTCTTATGTGTGTTACCTCCCAAGGATGCTGCTGTCAAAGCAATAAAGAAGTATGGTGTTGGTTCTTGTGGACCGAGAGGTTTTTACGGAACAGTGGGTAGGTGTCAGTTGCATATACTTTCTGAAAAAAACAATACAGCTTTTAAGCATGCGATGTATTCGCTTCATTAGTAGCTCATGAGATAACATAAATTACAGATGGGTGTTGTTATTATAATTACTGCAAAATCTGTATTAAAAGCTGCGGCTTCTATTAAAATGCTACAATGCAACAGAGGGGATGCGATACACATATGAGAAATGATGAATTTTTGGTTCTCAATTGTTCAAAAAGAATGGGTGCGACTTCTATTAGGGATGCGGCTTCTAATACAGATTTTACGGTACATACCAACTGACATGCTTCATAGCCAACCAAAGATCCATGTTTGCTGCATCATTAAATTACTTTTTTCGGTCGATGACGCTGTTATCATTTTCTTAGTGCATATGCTACTAATAAAGCAAATACTGTTAAAATGCTTACAAAATTTTTTTGCAGGTCAGTGTAGATCGTGAAATTTTGCGGATGGTTGGCACTTTTGTGAAATTTTGACATATTAAATGCCATCAAATAATGTTATGAAAATATCCAGGAGGAAAAATTAAGCAATTTATAGTATGGTCCATATATAAATATATATGGTACATGTATACATGTATAAAATGGGTGTTTTGTAGAAAGTCTTTCATTACTGAGAGATTATTATGATTCTTAAGGTGATACTACTATCCTAATTTTGCACTGCTACGAAGATATGATTGTTTTGGCAACCAGTGTTTAAAAATGGTGTTTCAGTAATAGTGTGCATTTACAAATATTAAAGTTAGTAAATACAATCATTTTAACCAAACCAAATTTGGCTTGTTGTGGTTAAAATGTATGGCCTCCAGCTATGTTCATCACCTGCTGCTTGAATAGGTTTGAATAAACTAATCGCTAGAAAATGGTCAGTGAAAACAATATGCACATGTGCACATCTGATGACAGTGTTCTTTCAGTCTCATCAGATCTAGTTCCTAGTCCACTATGGGTGGATTTTTCCAATTCAACTGGCTATGTGTTAACATTTACATGTACATATATACAAGTTGTCAATTGAAATTTTAGACACAATTTCTTTTAATTGAAGATAATCTGTCATGACAAGCTCAGTAAAGCACCGTCCCTCATGTTGAGGGACAGTGAGTAAAGTAACCAATTTATCTAGGGGCATTCCCTGCCCAGTCCAGTGATTGGCTATCATAGATCACCAGCTGTTCTGCATGATTCTTGCTGGCAAACAAAATGTAGTCAATAGTCAATAGCAGGGTTCTCCCCAGGGCTTTTTAGCGCCGAGGTCCGCGGCGCTATACCTGTGAATCTCGGCGCTTCACTTGGGACC